ATTTAGGTTTAGATAAGGCTTCTAGTATAGACATGGGAATCACATGGGAAGAGACAGAGGCAAGAAAAGAGTAATAGGTAGGGGACAGAAGGCTATAGGAAAAGTATTTAGAGATACAATGTGCTTTACACTTCTACTTGCCTTTGTGAAGGGCAATAGGAAGATCAAGGTCTGGGAAGGAAGTAGGTGGGTCAGAGGAAGGTTGACCTGTTAGTCTGTTACCTCAGTAATTATGAGAGGTGCAAGAGGCTCTACTATAGGAGTGGGAACAAGTTGCCCATGCCTGAATCTGTGCCTTTGGTAACACCTTTGGAGAACATGATGTGAGGGAACTATAGGAGGATGAGGTGGAGGAGGGGGAGCATGAACACATGAGGTAAACATAGTGGGAGGAGAGGCAATAGAGGACTCAAAAGGAACTAGAAGCGGAATAGCTAGAGACATAGCAAAAGGTTCCTTAAATTGCTCCTCCTCAGGAGAAATACTAAAGAAAGGAGTAGACTCAGAAAATGTGACATCCTGAGAGACAAAGCGGGAGCCATGAACCGGATCAAAATAACAATATCCCTTTGTGCGGAGGCATATCCTAAAAAAATACACTTAATGTGCCTTAGGTTCAAATTTGTGTCATTGATGATTATGAACATGTACATAGCAAGTATACCCAAAAACTCAGAGATGAAGAGAAAAGAGATCTTCATCCAGAAAGAGAAGGCTAAATGGGGTTTTGAAACCCAAAACCCGAGAAAGCATATGATTAATCAAAAAGATAGCAATAAGGACAGCATCTCCACAAAATTTAATAGAAACATGAGATGCAAAAAGGAGGCATCTAGCAACCTCAACCACATGGCGGTTCTTCCTTTCTGCCACTCCATTCTGCTGTGAAGTGTTGGAACAAGAACTCTGATGAATAACCCTAGAAGTCTCAAAGTATGATGAAATGTTCTTCTCAAAATATTCCTTAGCATTATCATAACAGAATATTTTGATCCGAGTGTTAAACTATGCAACGATAAGTTCATAAAATTTTTGCACAATAGTCAGTACTTCATCTTGAGATCTCATGAGATAAATCCAAGTGTAACAAGAATAATCATCAATAAAAATGATAAAGTACTTGTAACGCCCCATAGTAGGCAAATGATCTGCCTCTCACACATCAAAGTGCACAATATGAAAAGGAGGAATAGATCTTTTATTGCTTAATAAGAATATCAACAATGCTTTGCAAGTTTACAAGCTCACAATGAAGACTCAATAAAGACACTCCCTTAAACATACCGGGAAACAAATGGCTCAAAGCAGAAAAAGGAAAATGACCAAACCAGAAATGACATAACATGACTCTATCAATAGACTTTGACAAAATAGACTCCAAAGCTATCCATGAGGTGGTCCAAGACTCCTATCAGGTGTGTCTAGCAAGTATATTCCATTTGCCTCATGGCCACTCCCAATCGTCCTCTAAGATTTCGGGTCCTGAAAAACACAATGGGTAGGAAAAAAGATTATGTTACAGTTCATGGATTTAGTCAAGTTGCTAACAGATAAAAGATTGGTATTAAGTTTGGGGACATAAAGGACAAAGGATAAAACAAGGGTGTTAGAGATCTTGATATCCCCCTTGCTAGATATGGGAACAAGAAATATCTTCTCTTTACTAGAGAGGAGATAATATAAACAAAAAATGTTAGACAATCGGATGCACCATAATCAATAATCCAAAGAATTTTATGATTAATTGAAACAGAAGCATGATTTGTAGAAGCACAAATACCTGAGTGAGCAAATGCGGATGATGATGTATTGCCTAAAGAGTGGGATGTCAAGACAATGGTTTCTAAGTGATTCAATCATCTTCCATAGTTTTCAAACTCTACCTTCACTGTTGTCAACTGCCCCATGGCTGACTTTCTTCATTCTCCTTATTCCCTCCTCCAAGCACTGTGACAACATTAGCATTCTTAGGCTTTCCTGTCTAACCATTCTTCTTAAAATTGTTGTTATTGTTGTTATTTCTAAACCTATCTGGGAGAAGATCTATATGAAGCTTCCAGCAAGTGTCCTTAGTGTGCCTCGATTTCTTGCAGTATTTGCATATCACCTCTTTCTTCTCAATCGGACCCTCCGACTTTATTCTAACATGTGCAAAGTGTTCTGTAGGTGGACTTTGTAACTGAACCTGCCACCTACTCTCTTCACTGCTTACCATAGCATATGCTTAGGCAAGAATGGCATCATCCCTAGCCCTAGTAATGTCAAACTTAGGGTTGAGTCCTCTAAGAAACTCAAACACCTTATTTCGTTCCACAAGTTTCCTAAAAGTCCTTGCATCCTTAATACTCTCCCATACAAGTATCTCCATAACATCAATTTTTTGCCATAATGAATTCAGCATAGAGTAGTAGATTGCTATACTCTTCTCCCCCTGTCGCAGATTTTTCAAATCACTCTTCAGCTAATAGGCTCTCGCCACATTCAACTTCTGTGAATAGGTTTCCGTAACACTGTCCCAGATCTCCTTAGCTGAAAACATCCAAAGATAATGCTAATTTATAGGGGTTGCATAGAGTTGACCAACCATTCGATTACTATGTAGTTCTCCTACATCCATTTCTCATATGCAGGGTCTATCTCTGCAAGTTTCACCTTATTGCCTGTGAGATACCCTAATTTACCTCTACTACAAACATAAATTCGTATAAATTGTGCCCAAGCTAGGTAATTGATTCCATCTAACTTAGTTGTGGTCACTCTAATCAAAAAGAAATCTACCAGTCCAAGCCTGGATACTAGCATCTACTTGGACTCACTTCCAGATTGCTCAATTGGTCAAACGAAAATCAAAAAACTAGATTTTCAAACTTTATAAACTTAACTGAGGTCAAAACAGTACTCGAATACTTGACAACTAGGGTTTCACTACACTCAGCTATCGGGGAGGGAGAAAGAAGAGTTAGTCGCTCTTACCAGAGCTTCCCAACCTCCTTCAAGTCTTAACTGCATACTTCTAGGAGTCAAAATACACCTCCCAAGCACTGAGCGCCACACCAAAAGCTTCCCCTTGACCTGTAACTTCAAAGCTCTCTAGTCGGCTAGGGTTTTGGGTAGAAAAAAATACAACATCACTTCTTGGTAGTTTTCAGCCAGACTTCAACTCTCCAAACCTTCTACCAACTAGGCAAAAGATCCTCTGATCTATAGGGAACTTATCTCTCCATACATTCTCCTAATTGAATGGTGTATGGGAAAAGAGAAAAGAAAAAAGAAAAAAGAAAAAATAAAGGAAAAACCTGCTCTGATACCAAGAAGTAAATCAGTCCTCTAAAACTAATATAAACTTGATTAAAAAATAGAGAAGAAAGTGGAAGAAAGGTAGAAGACAGTAGAACATAAGAAGAAAATGGAGAAAAGAAGAAGAAGAAGAAGTGTTTGATAATCTCCTCTCTTCCCTCACTAATCCTTTTGTTAATCTTCATTTGCTAAGTTAATTACAAGTATGCCCTTAAGTGGGCAGCTAGCTAAGCAAGAACTTAATATAAACTTATAAAAAGAAGTAATAGACCCATAAAGACAGGCCCATTAACAAACAAAATAAACAACACACTACATAAATAAAAGAATAGATACTAGGGACCATTCGGCCCAGTCTCTTTACACAACATAGACTTAAAATCAGTATCGAATGCATTTCACCAGCTATACCATGATTCATGACTGGCATGCTTTTATAAGAAATGCTCCAGATGGTATATACAAGTCTCATCTTCTTTCCAAGTAAGATAACAAGCTGAAAGTAAGAAAACAAGCTGATTCAAGCTTCTCCACCAAGCCCACTCAATCATAATAGGAGTAATAAGTTCTAAGACTCTGAAGCTGTGTTATCTTCGAGTCTTGGTAAAAGACTAACTCAAGTGTTGTTATTAGAGGCGTTGGTTAGTTTCTGTTGTTGCTGTTGTCATCTTCTATTGGACGTTTGGATTTTGTATTTCTTTTCTTTATTAGTGAGTTTCTTTGTTTTCTACCAAAAAAAAAGTACTGACTGAATTGTAATGAGAATAAGGTCCACTACCCAGACATGAGAACAGGATGGGTTATTTAGCAAGCCCAGCAAACTACCTGGTTAAGCCTAGTTTGGGCTCAACTCAATGAACTAAATTCCAACCATCATATTGTCTGAATCAGTGATTATATTAATATCAATTTATTTCCACCACAAATAGAAACTGAAATGGAAAAATAATGAGATAATTACTTTGAGTTAGTAATTCGAGTTCCCCTGTTGATTATAAGCCGATCAAAGCTAGTTTAACTGAGGGATGGGGACTGACAGTTAGTAGTAGAGATAAAGAATGCAATAAGCAATTAAGCATGCCCACATTTCTGCATAATTCTAGAGAATTTGATAGTCTCATTCTTTTAATTATCCATACACAAAGGGAACTGCATAAAAGAAAAGGTACACTGATAAAAAAAATAATAATAATAAATCCCTAAATATTGCATATAAGACAGATCCCCAGAGGATAGAGACAGGATGCAGTTTCCTACCAAGAAATCACTGAAGACAAATAATGAGTACATGGACCACTTTATTACCTCATTCTAGTTCTCCTCTGTGAAACATTTTTCCCCCTCAAGGAAGAATTCGAGTTGATTGATTTCGAAAAAATTCCCTTGTAAATTAGACGTGACGATTGATTAGGATTAACATGGAACGGATCATAAAAGAGGTATCCATTGGATCAATAATTCTATACCATCCCCGTTCAGAGTGAGAGGCTAATCACCAATATGAATGACTTTATTTTTCAAAACATATATATGATTTTGCTGACATGGCAGTTGTTTTGTTTTAAAAATCAAAACCGTACACATTGCAAACACCCCCACCTAGTTTCATGTTTACAGACATGGCCATGATGCAATTCAGAATCCAAGATTCCAGAACCAATAGAGCCATTCCATATTTCTGAACCAAAAAACTCTCTTTCAGCTTCACAAAATAATATCAAGCATTCAAATTGCCAAAGGACTTAGACCAGTTTTTCCTTGCAGATAAAGTGATAAACTGCAAAATTGTTCAAGCATAAGAACTTAGAATATTTCTTTTCAAATTGACTTTACCACATCAACCAAATTGGATCACAAATCATCTTTACATCCCAGCTGGGATACATCCAGGCTTCAAGAACATATTTAATAAGAATATAATTTGTCTTAAAATAAGGATATGAATCACCAGGAGACAAATACTGAACTGATCTTTATTGTGGCGGCAACCATGGCGTGGCTATGGCACAGGAGACTGATAAGTCCAAAGTCGATGGAAGCTGCCAATTGTTGTAGTATATGCCCAAGATTGGATTTGAATGTCTTAGAGCTCATGCTGGAGTAATTGCTGTATCAGCTCTTAGAGGTTCACTGATTTCAAGGAGTTCATTACAGAGTCCGGTAAAAACAACAGAATCTGTCTCTATAGGTTTGAACTTAATAAGAGCTGATGGAACCAAGTCCTCATCATCCAATATTGGTGTTCTTCCTCCAGCTTCTGGAAACCGTGGGATCACCCGCCTCTTGATCGCTACTGGATGCAATAACTCAAATTCCAATGTGGGTTCTTTTAGTGCTGCACTTGCAAACTAAAATATGAAGAGAAGAATAAATGAATGGCTCCTTAAATTAATAAATCAACATAGAAAGACTTCAATTGATAAAAAATCACTTTATGTGCTTTTAAGAATCCTGGTGAATAAGATGTAGCTGAAACTTGGCTACATGGAATTGAACAAACAAAGACCACTAATTATCAAAATTTCCTTCGCAAAGAAAATGAATGTTGAATGTTCAGGCCAAGTTAAATTTTTATATTTAAGACCAATACAAAAGAAAACCTATTATCTGTGCCTTGGGAGATTCAAACAATTGATATGACAAGGTTAGGTTAGAGGTTCAACCACATTTGTAAATCCCAACATGTCAGTGAAGGGTACAACCAGTAAGACTATCAGATAGATCCAGAATACCTTTCATGTTTGGAGTGAAAGGATACAACCAGTAACCATATGTCAGTGATGGATTGAATGAAAGAGTAAAACAAGAACCAATTAAGGTTATAAATATCTATACAGGCCAATACACCGGATGGGGCGTATCAGCCTGTATCTTTGGCCACTTTTTCCTTTTTTTTTTCAAACCTGTTCAGGGGGTCGGTTTAAGGCCCGTCTACCCCGTGAAACAGGTCAAACCCCAAAACAGTTGCTGTAGGGGCGTACTAGAGGGTCACTGATACAATAAAAATCAGCTAATACACTCCGATACATTGCAAAATTTTAATCCATGGAATCAATAATGCATTAAGTATCTCTACCTACAAGAAGACATCACCAGAAGATTCAAAGAAAATTCCCAATGTTCATGGTTAAATCAGAGCATTCAAATGAAAGATAACTTTTCATCCCAGAAAAATATAAAGCTTAGGAGGTGGCCCATAATGTTAGACACACCAAGTGGTAGTTAGAAAAACAACACATTATTTGATAGAGAGTATCGGTCCAAGAAACAAGCACACTCACTGGTTTCAACATTTTAGTTTTTATGGAGGAATAGTCTCCTGGGGTTTGGTCTCAAGCCCAAAGAAAAATGAGGATATGCTGCAATGCAACCAGATTCAATTCTAGTTACTCAAAATAAATAAAATATATGGTCAGCAGTCTGTCCCACTTGTACATATCCTATAGCCACTCACCTATTAAGTGGACCCACCTTCAACATTGTGGTTGTGTTTGTTTGATTAAGGAAAAGAAACAGAAAGCGGAGGCAAAGTTCTTAAGGAATTTTGAGAAAGACAGAGCCTGTAGGTTGACCATTTACAATTCTAGTTCCCAATACAAGTTGATGATAATGGGGCATGATGAATATGTGAAAGCAAGCCCAACTTAGTGTTTGTGCTAATTTTGATGGGTTTCAAGGATAAATTTGGACATCTTACTGATAAAAATGATCATGGCCAACTTCAATAGCATTTCCAACATGCTCGACCCACTGACACTGGTTCACAATCAGCCTGAAAGGTGAAATACTTGTGACCCTAACCTTATTTGGTGTAGGATCAGTTGTTTCAAACTTTCAATACAAACTGATGTAGAATTTGAACAACTGAAGGATGAACCTAGGAGAATAATGATAGGCTAAAAGAAAAGTTTAGTGATGATTTTAGGACTAACGAGAAGGATTAAGAAGGGTTAGAAAGGTTCTGGGTCAAATTGTTGAGAACTATAGCTTCTATATAGAATGATGGAAACATAGAAAAATTAAAAAACTGTGTATAGAAAACTTTGTAAAGGTGTTTGAAATGATGGATTGTATGCATAGTTGTCAAGGCGATGCCTAGGCAACAAGACACCCTTGGGGGCTCACCTCGCCTAATCGCCAAGCAGTTTTGTACATTGTGTTATAAAAAAACTTCTATATTCTTGATTTTTTTGATGTTATAATTATAAAATAGACATTATTAGACTAAAATATTCATTTTGTGTGTTTATATACTAATTTCTTTTTATTATTTTCTTATTTGTTGGGGTTTAATCAACAAAGCATTGCTAAATGCTGCATTGAACCCTCAAAGACTTCAAAACCTGAACCAATAAGCAAGGAAGAACTTAAAATGTTGTCTAATCAACACATTTCTTCTTTTCCTATAACAGAAATATAGGGGTTCAGCTCCGATATTTTTTGAATTTTCTTTTCTTTCTTCTTTTCCTTCTCATGAATATGTTGGAATATGTTGATTTTCTATACTTTAACAGGAAGTTTATACTTTTCTTATGAAAATTATGGATACTAATTAAGGAAATATGGTTAAGGAAATATGGATACACGTTTTTTACTTTAAAAAATCCATCACGGCATACTAGGCAACAAGGCGCCCCCCTGTTGCCTAGCCGCACCCTAGCACCTTGAAAACTATGACTGTATGGGGCAATTTTATTTGAAAGTGTTCTGAATAAGTTTTCTATAGAAGAACAAGTTTCCCTTCATAAGATAAATTTTCAAATTTCCCAAAACTAGGGTTTTAGATGGAACTTTACAAAATTGAGCATATAGAGATGGGAATGATGTGATAAAGGCATATTATGCAGGCCCTATTGGAGTAGGAACTTCTGTTAAAGCTGAAACTTTGGCACTGCAAAAAGGGTTGAGACTGGCTAAACAATTGGGTTTACAGCAGTAAGAAGTGGAGGGAGACTCATAACTCATCATTTCTTAGCTGAGCAGCAACTCCATGGGAGCTTGGAGTTATAGGCAGACACCAAGGGAGAATGTTACAATTGCAAAAGAAGTCGAACCTACTTTTAGATGTTTTAGAAGGACAGTAAATGGATTGGCAGATTGTTTGCCAAAGCAAGGGTTTATAGGGAACAACTTTTCTGGGATGTATTGTTTCCCTAGATCTTTTGCAATCTCTCACTTTTAATTTAATGAATAATTTTTCTGTTGCTGATCCAAAAAAAGTGGATTTAAGCTCACACAAAGTTATAGTATTTAAAAAGCGTCTCTTTGGCAACAATTTTTTGGACAGCTTTTACAAGACTTTTTGGCTGAAATGTATGTATTTGTAGGTTTTACTCCTACCCCTACTCCTTGGATGAGTGGAAAAACCATAAAGGATAGGGTCAAAAATGACTTCATTCAAAGGAACCTAGGAGTAGCTCCAATAGGTAATAAAATGAGAAAGTAGACTAAGATGGTTCAGTCACGTGCAAGACCATCAACAGCACCAATAAGAAGTGATCTGTTGCAAGTTGAAGGAGCTAGAAGGGCTAGGGGTAGGCCAAAAAGGACATGGGTTGAAGTGGTAAGAAATTATTTAAGTGCTCATAATTTAACAATTGATATGGCATTAAACAAGCGGAATTGCAAAACAGGATTCATGTAGCCAATCCCATAGATAAGGCTTGAACAATGATGATGATGATGATGATGATGATGATTATCCCTACTAAAAAGAGTCTCTTCAGAAACAAGTTTTCGGACAGCTTTTTCTCAGCTTGTTGGGTGAAAATGTGTATCTTTCTGGTGGGTTTTACTCCTGCTACTACTATATTTTTGTATGTTTTACGCCCACTAGGAACAAACATGAAACATCAATGTACTAACAAGCATGGCTAATGGGAGGAACAAACATCAATGAATTTTCTTGTCTTTTCTTTTGAAAGGCTAGCTGAAACATCAATGGATTTTGAAAGGCTAATTGAAACTGATTCAGTTGATTTAGAGTTGGAATTTTTTTCGATAGTTGAAAGATAATTTCATTAATCAAAGAAGATAAGCTGTTACATGCTTCCCTTGGAGAGGCGTGAGGTGCAGCCTCTCCTAAACATTGCATTGCTCAGAGTTGGATGAATTTTATAGAAGCTTCTTTTCAGTTTACACCGGATTTATATAGAGGACTATGGAATAGCATATCCACTGGTTAATCATGGACGTAATAGTAGATACATCAAGGTTTTCAGTCTAATGATGATCTACCAACTGCTAAGCTTGACAAGGAGGCAATACTCTTGGACAGGGATCCTTTTTCTTTTTCTCTAGGTTTCTTTGAAAAAGGCTTTACGTCCTCCTACCCCTTGTTGTATTTATGTCACCCTACCCAAGTTGCGTTTTTTTCTTTGAAAAGGTTAGGATCATATCTCATATTTTCAGGTTGAATTGGATTGTACTTTTTTTCTTTTTTGTTAGTATAATTTTAAGGATCTGCCAAGAGCATTAGATATATTTTCCAGGTTCAAAAGCAACTCATACTATTCCTTCAAAGTTTTCCTTATTCACAACCCTTTGTTTTGCACCTTTTCATTTGAAACTTGGATGTTTTGCACCACTTCTCTTCTAAATCACATTTTCTGGTAACAATTAGGTATTACTTCATCCAAAAAATTGCAATCCATATATTAAAGAAACATAAAAGACATATGATATGAGATGCAAAGGATCTAACTTTCTGGCCTCTAGATGATTTACTTGAGCACCAAGTCATCAGCCCATGGATATATATAGAAAAGTGTGAACTTCTATTAAAAGGAAATGAGAATATACAAGAGAGAAAAGTATTGAAAGCAATTCCAACATAAAAGGCAAAAGTATCAAAATGAGATCACATAAAACCCACAAATATATATTATATACATTTTCACCCAACAAGTCTAGCAAAAACTGTCCAAAAAATTGTTTATGAAGAGTCTCTTTTTAAATGCTTGAACTTTGAGTGGACTTAAATCCAACCCAAGGGGGAACAAATGTCAGTACACAATCTCTCCTTGGACTTCTAGGTTTACTATAAAAAATAAGCTTATTCCTCTCCCTCCATATGCCCCAAGAAACTGCAACCAAAAAGGCAATTTTTCTAACCAAGATGGCAGATCCACACATTCTTCAGTTTCCCATCAAGCAACATTTTTTCCAAACACCAGGACACTATACAACCTGATAACCTTGGATTTTGAAATATTAGAAAATGTTTTTATAAATGAAATATTAGAAAATGTTCAGCCCATGGATTTAGGATAGTTGCCTCATCTTCCCCCCATTTCTTCTTTTGTACATCCTCTTTTTGTCCTTGGATTTAGGATTGTTGACTCCCCCCACCCCATTTCTTCTTCTGTGCATTCTATGCTTCTCTCTTTTTTCTTCTTTCCATTTCTATACCATAGTTGCCAAGGCATCACCTAGGCACCCTTGGCTGAGTATCTCACCTAAACACCTTGTTTATGGTAACAAGGCCCCTCTTTGGGTGACTAGGCACCAGACTAGGCAATAAGGCACTCCACCTAGGCAACAAAAATTGACTAGGCAGTCACTTTATTATAATATCATTCATATTGCTATATCATACCAATATGTGTGTTAATACATTCGACTATATACTATATGTATTATCTATACTTTGTTTTAAAGTTTTACTGTTGAAATTTAAAAGATCCAAGGCTTTTGAGAAGAAAAAAGAAAGAAAGAATATAAATATAAAGAGGTCACTTTCTGTTTTTTCTTTTCCTATTCTCTGTCTCTCTTAAATAGAAAAATGACACCACTGACTAGCCTCATACTTTTTCTCTCTTACTCTCTATCTTAAATTTTATCTTAGAAAATTGTAACCTTCTTTAATTGCTAATTTGATATCAAATTTCCAAGAATTGTTATTTCTTCGATTACTCTCTATCTTACGCCTCACGTATCAATGATTATTTAGTGATTTAATGAAAAAAAAACTATTCTATGCATTTTTATAGTTCAAAATATATGAAAGAAGCACTTCAATAATCATGAGCCAAATAAATAGAAGAGTAAAAATGAAAAACCAATAGGTGAAATCATGTTATATTAGTTTCTCTTAGTATTTTAGGAGAGTTCAATGCAAAAAGGGCAATCAAGTTCTTAGTTTCTGTTGTATATATCGAGTGATTTTTCTAATTATTCTAAATCTAACATCCCGACTTTTTTTATTTTCTCATTTCTTTTCAATGGATTTGTTTTCTTTCTACTGCCTTTTTTGCATAGATCAAATTAATTAAGTTATTTTCTTTCTTCTAAACTATTGAATGACCATAAATCTAATATCCAATTATATGGATGATTCTTCATATGTTTCCTTTCTTCTAAATTGATTATTTGAATTATTTGAGAACTTTGTATTTTGAAACATGAAATATAAAATGTTTATAATTGTTAATTGATTCATTATTATTTTATTTAATGCTTAACCGCTGAAACCTATTGCTTATAAACTTTTATTTTATGATTATTTATACCTTTTATCATTCTAACTCGTTATATTATATGCTATTTTTATCAATTTATAAACTTTAATTTATTTTATTCTTAAGCTTTGAGGCTTACGCCTCACCTTTTTGGGCCATTATCCTCAACTATGCCTTTAGCCTTTTAAAACCTTGGAATCACCTAGACACCTTGACAACTATGATGAGAACCAAATAACAGTAGCTACAACTCTTTTTTTCTTTTTTTTGAAGAATCAATAGAAAATTCATTAAAAGAAAAGGTTACATCCTAACTCCCTTGGTTGTCAAGATGACACACCAAATACTTCAAGAACATACTTCTAGTACATGCTCAAAACTTTAAATTGAAAAAGCTTCTACATTACAAGGCTGTAAGTCAAGGAAATTCCAGAAATTTTCCAATAAATCAGCTTTGGAATCTTGATCAAAATCTGGGAGACCGAGAACCCACTCTGATAGCAGATTGCACACTGTAGCAACCATGTATTCTATATTGTTTGACCTGTTCTCGAAAACTCTTCTGTTTCTCTCCCTCCAAATAAACCAAGCAACACAGCATATCTCTCAAAACCCTGTTGCACAATCCCCCTGGTTAAAAGCCTTCTGCACTCATGCAGAGCCAACCCTAACCCAAACCAATGTTGCATGGAAACAGACATTGGGATCAGGATTAAATGATGCTTCTTCACATACCATTTCTCCTCCTTTCCCAGTTCGTGAAGTATGGTATAAGCCTATTCCCACAAAAATTGAGGCTTTTTGCTGGGAGGTTTATCATGAGAAGATTAACACTTTGGACATTCTACTAAAAAGAAGGGAAAATGTTTATTTATCCCTAAACTGGTGCATACTCTGTAAGGCTAATGATGAGTCTAGTTACCACCTACCAATCTCCTGTCCATTTGTTACCTTTATTATATGGGAATTTGGGTGCAGGACATTGCCTATGAGCTTGGCCAGTTTCTTTGAGGCTATAACTTTCAAATGGCTGAGGAAAGGAGGAAGAGTAATGGAAGATGCACAAGGGCTGTTATTTTATGGACAATATGGGAAGAAACGAATGCAAGAATTTTCAGTGAAAAAGAAAGAAGCATGGAACTGATTTTGGAGGGGATCACAGAGAGGAAAGCCTTTTTGCATAGATGTCTCACCAACTGGTTTTCAGAAATGGAAATTGATATATCGAGGTAGAGTCATGGGTGTTGAAGGGATGGCAATGTTGATGTAAAACATAGGTAAGAGCTGGAGATGGATGAATCTGTTTATTCTCTCATTGGAAATCAAAGCTTTAGATATCGCAAGCAGCTTTTATTTTGTAGAAGGAAGAATGAGAGGCACATTTGGCATTACATCTTAGAAATCTTGTGCTCAGTCACCATTTGAGATAGATCAAGGATGTGGATCAGGACATGATCCTCTTGCTCACTGGCAAGACAAGGATCATTGAAGTTTTTAGAGATAGCAAAGGGAGATTGAGCAATTTATTTCCATGATCCATTTCGCATGGCAACTCAATTAGAGCAGAATTGTTAGCAGTAAAGCAGGGCTTGAGATTGGACCATGTCTTTAACCTTACAAATCCAGTGGTGAATGGGGATTCAAATGTATTCTTGGGGCAGTTATAAAGTAGAAAGACAGGCTCTTGAATGTACAGACATGTTATGAGGGAGATTAGGAGCTGGCCTGTGATCTGCATATAGATTATAGCATAGTTGTCAAGGTGACACCTAGCAGACAAGGCGCCCTTGGAGGCTTGCCTCGCCAAGTCTCCAAACAATTTTGCATACTGTGTAATAAAATACTTTTATATTGTTATTTTTTTTAGATTATAATTATAAAATAGACATAATTAAAGACAAATATTCATTTTTTGTGTTTAAAAACTAATTTATTTTTATTATTTTCTTATTTTTTAGGGTTTAATCAACACAAACATTGTTAACTGCTGTATTGAACCCCCAATGACTTCAAAATCTGAACCAATAAGTAAGGGAAGAACTTAAAATTTTGTCTAATCAACACATTTCTTCTTCCACCTTTTCTTTTCTTCTTTTCCTATAACAAAAATAGGGGTTCAGCCCCCATATTTTTTGAATTTTCTTTCCTTTCTTCTTTTTCTTCTCATAAATATGTTGATTTTCTAGACTTAAACATGAAGTTTATAATTTTCTTATGAAAATTATGGATAGTTATTAAAGAAAGTTGGTTATGGAACCTAGGGAACTACCCAAGGATATGTGATTTTTACTTAAAAAAATCCATCACCTAGGCGACTAGGTGACAAGGCGCCCCCCTGTCGCCTAGCCTCGCCTTGGCACCTTTAAAACTATGGATTATAGGTGGAGCCCAATATCTACCAATTTCTTGGCTGATGGTCTAGTTAAACAAGAAGCATCAAGGAATCAAGTGTTTTGGGATGTAATCCCCCAATAATGAGGACTAGGGGTGCTCAGGGTTCAGTTAACCGAACCGTGGGCCTAATTTTGAAACTGAACCGATGTGACCGGTTTCTGGAAAACCGGTAACAGAAACCGAACCAAAGCTGATCGGTTAACCAGTTGACCAGTTCAGTTAACCGTCGGTTTGGTTTGTCGGCTTTTCAGTTTTTTATATTTATAATATATAATAAAAAATATATAAATATATAATAAAAACTATAAATATATAAAAATATCATATTTTAAATAATAAATAATATATTATATATTATAAATATATATATATAATGCATATTTATTAATTTATAATATATAGAAAATATATAGTATATAATATATAATATATATAAATATACATAAAATATGTAGAAATATATGTATACTAGTCGGCTCGGTTAACCGCCGGTTTTCTATATTGGTTAACCGAAACCAAACTGGAACCTTCAGTTTGTAAAAATACCAAACCGACCGGTTCAATTAACTGGATTTTCGGTTCGGTTTCAGTCGTTTTTTGGTTCAGTTTGGTTTTTCTTGCTCACCCCTAGTGAGGACTTGTAAAAAGTGTAGAATGGGGAGCTAGCAAGGACTAGGGGTGGCTAAAGCCTGCAGCTTAAGAAATCTAATAATAGAAAGGGATTCCAAGGTAGTGGTGCAATGGCTCAAGAATCAAGGTTTGACTCCTTGGTCATATAGGAATATCATGAAGGAAATGAAAGTGCAAACGAGGGAAGTGGTGTTGATGTATAATGGGTTTCTTGATCAACCAATGGATTGGCAGATACATTGGCAAACAGGGGGTATATAGGAGACAGCTGTTTTGGGGCCTATTGCAAAAAGCTCTAACAGAATTAATGACATTCTGATGGGGATGGGAAAATGTCTCCTATATTGGCGATGCCTGGTATCATAAATTTCCTATTATCCATCAAAAAAATGTACATATTTGTGCTTTTGTTTGTATAGCAGCAACAGAATATCATTTGGTCAGAGAGATATAAGTTTCAAATAAATTTTCATTTAATTATATAGCAATGTAGAAAGCAAAACTATTCAAGGTTTTTATGTAAAACTCATTCTTGGCAATTAAAACTAAATGCATGAAACAGGAAAGAATAGAATAATAGTTTAGCAAAAGAAAAGAAGGAAGAAAATAATAAACCTCAATGAGAAATAAATATAAGTTATACTAACCTCATAGAGTGCAGTAGTTGGCTCCCATGGAAGAAAGATACCTTGGAGTACCACTTCATCAGGAAACTGGATTCGAATGACAGTTTTCTTGTACCTCTTCCTTGCAGCTTTTGCCTGCTTCTCCTTATATGACTTGGGAATCAGAAGTTGAGACTCTGCAATTTTTTTCTTCCTCAGATCGGCCTCTTTCCTCAACTCTTCAGCTGTAAGGTTATAGAAAGAGTCTGGCAGATTGATTTTTGCTGCTATGCTTTCAGGGACAGAAAAGAAAACTCGAACCTAAAAAGTTCACAAGGCTGAAGAATTGTAAGAAGCAAGTAATGATTTAAAAGGGAAAAATAAAAGAAAGAAAGCAAAGAGATGATAAATCTATTCATGTAGCAAATAATACAACACAATCTAGTGATCAAAAAAATAATATAACACACTAAACTAAACGATAAGTCAAGAAATCTATGAACCTAATGCATATATAGATTAAAAGAAATTTTTGGAAGTCTATTGTGAACTATACAACAGCATATAACTGGATATAATGAAAGCCAGAAATATTAGAAAACAACAGTAATAATTGTGACAACTGAGAATTAACAGAAAAACTGATAAATCCAATTAACAATCAAAAGAGACAGTCTGGTAAGGGACCAAGCATTAAATAAAAGGGAAATAAGAAGAGGACCAAAATGACAAGAAATCAGAAAACATGAAAATCATAGAGCAATGTAAAGCAACTATGCTGCATTCTTGCAGTATGAGAGTAAATAAAAAAGAACATGATATAGAAGAAAGATTTATCAAAAAAAAAACATGATATAGAAGAAAGACTATGTATAACCAAAAACTGGTCAACAAAAGTAAGTTTGATGTAATAGGTCAAAATATTGACAGAAAATGGAGATAAATATATAACCAAAAAATAGAAAAATTAATATTACCGTACAACATGATAACGTAAAAAGCGTATAATGACAAAACAAGTCAGGACTTGGTGAAAATATTACAGCAGATAGTTCTAGCATTATTATACCTGTCTATCAACTTTCTTCGAGTCAACTGAACTGTCTCCCTCAGTTGAATTTGCACAAGGCAAATCTTCTGTCTTCCGTGTTTCCAGTAATGATATTGCCTCTTTGATCAAAAAGATCTGCTGCTCCAAAGGAGCTTCCATCACTGCCCACATTTCTTCACCTTCTGCTTGGAGTGCAAAGCCAACATACTCCATCAACTCAACACCTCCTACCACATCACCGATAGCCTCCTTTATCTTTGGATTGCCCATTCGAATTCTTCGAAACTTGGCATTTTGAGGTTCCTGAACAATATTCCTAAAAAGCTTAAGAACAACCTCCACAGATCCTTCAGATGGCCGTCCAGAAAGAAAGGCACCAATCCGACCCGCCAACTCATTTCTTGACTCCATCTGAGTCCCATCATCCTGTAATTCCCCAACAACCTGAGCATTCTCAACTGAGCTACTGAGGCAGCTCTCAATATGTGTGGACACCTCCTCTTCAGACCTATACGGTTGACCACAAACTGGGCACTCAACAACATTTAGCGAATACCCATTTTGAGAACGTTTCCCGGAAGTGATTAGAGAGTCAAAGGGATCGAACCCATTCGCCGGTATGCGATCGGAACTGGGGATACTCTGAGGAGTTGGCTCATTCTTTAGTCTACCATCAGAATTCCCATTGGTATTGGGTATCGACGGCCTCTGTTTTATGTTCGACGGAGGTAAGTTCTGCCTTAAATCACCATTCTGGGATGGACGCGTAAGGATTGGATTAGCCGGTCCGGACGAAGACGAGCCCAATACTCTCCCCTGTCCCTTGAATTTATCAGAAGATGACGATGAGAACTGATTGTTCACCTTCTTCATGAAGCCCTTGAATTTGTCCTTCACATCGTCCATGGCCGAGCTCTGAATGAAGAAATGAGAAACTCAAGATAACGAATCCCAATCAGCTCAGTCAAGAAACTATCTGCAACCTTTAGACGTTTTAGATTGGAATTGAGGACGGTTCCTTTTCGAGAAACCGACAAAGGAGAGAGCTAACGAGCAGAAGCAAACAAAGAGCAGCTTTGTAATTTGTAAATGGACTAGGGTTTCTTCCGAGTTTTAACGATCTGTTAGCCCTAGGAGAGGAATTAGAACAGAAAACTGTCGAGAACTGCGTAGACTTTTCAGGAATAGCGTGTCGCGTTTTTTTAACTAACGGTTGAAGATTCCAGGAAAGTGGGGTTTACGCGGCCGACGTCGACCATGCGATTTTCCGACCGTCTGATCAGTTACGGTTAGCGTCGTTTACATCTCTTTACACTGTCGCATCAGCAATCACCTAGCGACAGATGTCGCGTCGAGAGAGTAATGACTGATCTTGGACACTTGTTACACATTGATTGGTTTATATAAAATGTTGTAAAGAATAAAAGGTGTAGGAGATTGGGACGGATTCGTTGTTTACTGGCTGGATATTTTGTTTAATGACGAGAATACCCTCATCGTTTTGTACACGCTCGCGTTTTGACTTGACTGTCCTGTCGCTAAGACGAATCCACCCGTTCGTTACTTGTGAGATTGCATCATGACAATTCCTCTCATGATTGATGAACGGGCGGGAGCACTCACACGGAATAAAATGGAGTGTGACCCCTTGTGTGGATTGGGCTGGCGTGTTCATTGGGAATTCGGATCAGGATCCAGCGTAAGGTCCCAACAAGGGGTGATGGTGACAACAGCCGAACAGCAGGGAAAAGGGAGATGTTCTCAATGCACGGTTACAAAGTCTCTTATAACTCGTTCATTTGATATCTGGTCATATGAGATCGGCTTCAGTCAGTGCAAATCCGTATTCATACGAGACTGGATCTGCTCCTCACACCGATCTCACATGCACATTCTATCATGCATTAGTAACATCTCCCGTACTTATAAGTTATTCATGGAAGATGTCTAAAATGCACAATGGATATGCCTATGGGGCACCCATTATTTTATTTTGCAAAAAACTGTTCATTTATTCAATCATGTATATATTAGTTAACCTTTATTTTTGTTAATTTCAAAATATCCTTGTTCGCCATAAAACATTATTGAATATCTCTCTCTTACTCCAAGATTGAACCTCCATATCTACTTCCTTTTAATCATTATCATTTTAACCTCCTACGTGCAACACATGTGCACTTTTACTAGTAAAACAAAGTATGAAAATATTCCCAATACAAGGCTATAAAGACTGTTTGGATGGTATTTGTTGATAGTTAGACACATCACTAGACACTACATAAGTGAAACAGTAAATAAACACCTTTGTGTCAGGGGAAACGTTAAAATGAAGCTTCCCCAAATGGTTGATTTATACGTAAACCAATACAAACATTTATAAGAAAATAGGTATATGAAATAACATGATGGGATAAATGCCCACATGGCTATGACCTAACACCGTTTATCAAATAAACAGAAGTCATACCAAACACCCTAATAGTTAGGTTCGGATATTTGTATTCTTACCAGATATGGATTCGACTCGAATCGAATAAGGAAAACAATTCATTTTGGGAGGAGAGAATGGGAGAGACCCCTTCTTAATTGTTTTATTGTAAATATGGCTGACTACACCGTGATAACTACTATTTTTTCCCTCATTTTCTTCCCCATTTTGAAGATTTGTCCAACATTTTAAAGACTTAGGCTGCATTTGGCATTCCTTGTTTTAAAGACTTGTCTATTTTTTCTCCTTTTAAAGTGCCCTTTTAAGCAATAAATTTCTAACAACAAAAAAGAGTTACGTCCTTAAAATAAGGAATGTCCTTAAAATAGTGTGGCTCGTTTCTTGGAATCTCAAGGTATACAAGAAGATGCATTGGAAATAGCTACAAATCCTAATTATGGATTTTTTTTGCCTTTTTAATAATGATAAATGGCCAAATAATTTATTCACAAAATCTGAGAATAAACAGAAATGTTGTTCTTGCTTCTAGTCTATGGGCACAATGTATTTTTTTCCTTGTTATCAAAAAAAAATGTTGGGAAAGAGTTGTTTCTTTAACAATAGGTCGTTTTAAGGTGATTAGCAACCATTAATGCTATGTTTGGTTTGAAGGAAAAAAGTAGGGAAAGGTAGGAAACCTTTGCAAACCTTGTATAGGTTTCCCTCGCTTTCCATACCTTTTTCCTTCAAACCAAACATAATCTAAAGGGTTAGGCATAGTAGCTGCTTTAACCATATTTGCTGTAAGTGCACGTGATTTGTATATGGAAATTCTATATGATGATAATATATATTGTTTCTACACTTGTTTTTTTTGTTTTTTATCACTAATCGGATGTAAATTGCAAAATCAAAATCTGATTACACAAACACCCCATCCAAATATGTGATAATCAGATCAAGCTACAAAGTTTCAATTATCATTGACAGGCCTAACTGTTTGGTTACTCTTCTTTTTTTTTAATATTTTTTATCTTTATTATGTATCCTTTTTGTTCATTTTTCAAAAAAAAATGTAAGATTTTGAATAATGGGAATTGAATGAGGTGAAAAGTAGTAGTTCAATTTACAAGTTAAACCTCGCAACTAAATAGGGACTAAATTCAAAAACCGAGGGCTGGTCTATTCCAGTATTGACCCGGAATCAAATCCCGCAACCATCATTTTGGGGGAAAAGGGGTCAAGGGGAAGTTATAATACAAAAAAAAAATGAGTATATTAGTCAAAAGAAAGTTCCACAATCTTATTCATATTTTCAATAGTAGTTTAAATATAGAATTATGGATGTGTTCAATTTTTTCTATATTTTTTTATATTTTTGTGTATAAAAATAATTTAGATATGTCACATATACTTTTTGTTTAATATGATAAATATGTGATATTATACATGTGCCTAACTTTTTTGAAAATTTTATGTATATTTTTTTTCATTTTTGTATTGTTATATTATATTAATTTTTATTATTTATTTATGACATTAAAGGTTAATACATTTGACCCAAAAGTTGAACTATTGATCTTTGACAAAGAGTGAAATAATTTTATCTTTGGTTAGTTCTAAATTATGTATTTCATTTTCATTATCATTAAAAATAATTATTGTTTATTACACTTATTTTTTTAATTTAATTAATAAAAATATCGTAAATGTGTCTAATTTTTTTACACTTTTGTAACTTTCTATATTTATTTCTATTTTAAAATTCTATTATCTAATTATAACTTCATAGGTGTTAATCAATTTGATTCATATTGTTAAATTGCATAGCCACCACTTGGATAAAATGGTTTTTTAGTCTATTTAAAATATATAGGTTTATATTGTTGAAAATATTGACATGGATCTAATTAGTAACATTTATTAGTGAAAAAGAACTTAAATATATGGTTTAATGAGAAAAATGTGAGTTAATACCTTAAGTATAAGACTTAATGATAGGGGATTAAATGAGGTGGAAACTAATAATTGAAGTTACATTTTCAACCCTTACAATTAGAGATTAGCTAAATACATAAATATGGACATTTTAGTAGCCATTAAGTTGGCATTAAAGCTGTAATAAAATAACTTTTATACCCTTTCTCAAACAAGGAAAGAGAGGACAATTTTAGTCCAAAAAACCTTGCACTCTGCATCCACACTTTTATATATAGTATAGATTTGCAATAACCACTATTAAATCTTGCTTTAAGCATGGTATAGTCAGGTCTTCCTTCACCCTTTGAAGATTTGTTCAATTACTATCTTTAACTATTTCTATATGGTTGAATATATTTCTATCTTTTTTAATAGGATTATAAATTTCATCTATTTATTTTAATTTTTAAATGAAATAAAAAAGTAAAAACAAAACAATTGACATCATAAAAAGTCACGGGGAGTGGAGATCCTTGTGGGGACAGTGATAGGGATAAGTGGATAACTTTGTCCCCATTGGTGGAGACGAGGATACCCATGTACTTATGACCAAAATGTCTAAAATACTCATCCCCATGTAATTATGACCAAAATGTTCATTTTACAATTTTTTTCTACATATGAATTGTTACACCAAATCCTTCCAATCTATTTTTCTATATTAACTAATTTTACAAATTTGCTCCTCATGTCAATCACTCAAAGGTAAATCTACAATTTTAAATTCTTTTTTTTCAGTTTTCATAAAGTTTGTATTGTTTTATTTCTTTTTTGTAGAAGCCAACCTCAAAAGTAATTGTGTTGGTATTTTTGACACATTTTTATGCTTATTTTTAAAGGACTAGTAAGTATGCACGTGGCAACTATAGATGATGATAATTATGATAATAATTTATCCAAATTTTTTTATACTTTATATATATTTTTATTTTTATTTATATATATATATATTATTAATTAGATGTAGATTAATCCAAATCTGATTTCATAAACACCTCATCCAAATATGTGATAAATAGAGCAAATTGTGAAGTTTCAAGTATCTTTGAGAAGCCTACTTCCTTGGCTAGACTCTTCTCTTTGTAATGTTTTATCTTTTTTCTTTTGTTCATTTAACAAAAAAATATATATATAAGATTTAAATAGAGGGAATTAAATGAGGTGAAAAGTAGTAGTTCAATTTACAATTTAAACCTTACAATTAAATAGAGACTAGATTCAAAAATGATTATTTTAGTCAATGTTTCAAAAACCAGACCATAATGAATGGTCGAACCATTTGGCCTTGGAACCGATCAAGTCACTGGTTCCATTTTGGCCCTATACCACTATTTTACAAAAAAAAAAAAAAAAAAAAAATGTTGAAATGGTTAGAGAACCATTGACCCAATTGGTTTAACCATTAAAATGTTCAACCCAGTTAATGGTTATCATGATGCTTTCAAACTAATTCCAATTTTTTAATTTATTTTAAAAAAAAATTGAAAAAATTAATTTCATATCTCATAATCTTGTTTGATTATTCCCAATGGCCAAAATTAGTTAGGGTTTTTAGTTTTTCCATTTTGATTTTGAGTTTTCTCATTCTTTTAATTCTTTTTAAGTTGTAATAACAAAAAAATTGCAATTCTAATAGAGAAATAAAAAAATCAATTCAAGAAATGAGAGATTAAACATCGATTTTTATATTAAAACATGAGATACACCAATGAAGTAAATGATCAGAGGTTTTAGAGAGATTTAGAGAGATAAGGTAACGTAAGAAGAGAG